CAGAACAAGGTGCAAGGTGATATAATGATGGAACCTTTTGCCGCGGAAAAAGTCTTCTACGTTAACTGCTATGGGTAGTGAGACCGTGACAACTCTTGAGGTTTGCAAGGTGCGAATCACACCCATTGAGGATTGCGTGTTGTAGGTCACATTTAACCAGATTTTCTTCAGTGCAGGAATAAGAGTCGTCTTTTCTGGACAAAAGATGCTTACCATTGTATGATATCTCGAAGCATCGGAGTGTGGCAGCGAAATTATGATGTCCGCGTCGACGGGAGCATCCAGAAGGACGATAGCATTTTCAGAGGCCTCAAGAGTCTCCGTACCTTGTCCTGGTTCAAAAACATATCAAAATGTATTGAAAACACTGACCTTCGGCCTCTAGGCGTGCCGCGGAATAGTTGAATCGTACTCCAGAAGGCGGAGTTAGTTTAATAGTTGCCCTCGAGATGTCATTCCGGCCAGTGGAAATCACAAGCAAGAGGTGTGATGTTGTCCCAAGCTCAGCTTGAATCCATAAGTTAAAATTATTACAGTCAAGAAGACTATACCACTTACTTTGCTGAGGTTGACGCATCTGTACATCCAATGCACGCAAACTGTGTGGCACGCGCACCAATGAAATCTGATTCCTCTTGGGAGCAGTGGTCACAGTACCCGTATGTTGCCATTGAAAGTGGACACGCGACATCACTATTTCACTGCTCTCAAGAGTATATAGACCCCACGAAGATGACTATGATGTGCAGTTCAGTTTGACGGGAGACCGTTGAGATGGTCAGACGCACCGGGCAAGATAGGGTTACGGTCAATTGGCCAGGAGGAAGTTTATCCACCTTCGCGATGAACTTTAGGCGTTCAGAATCTCGACCGCGCAATGTTATGTTAATTTCATCAATAAAGACATCCTTGGAACAAAATCAGCTCTGGAAACAATGTCAAGATATATGAACACGTACACATGGTAGATGGTTTGAAACGGTGGCATCTACCAAGACTAAGTCTTCATCGTCACTACAGGTAGCATCGCCAGATACTTGAACTGCCATAATAGGATGGTCTGTGTGAACCAGATCTACGATTTGCCAATTCTTAGTTTCCAGATTGTCAGTGCGTTTGGCAAGCACACACCTGAGTCTAAACTTGCTGCAGCAGTGTGAAGTGCTCTAATAAGCTGGGTAACAGACTTCTCTTGATCCACCTCCGATGTCAGTTCTTTGCTCATGTCATTTGTGCATGTCCTGAGATATGCAAGTAAGATATGTATCCACTCTCGGTCTTGAGGATTTTTCAACTCCGCATGTATGTCGAGTGCACGAGAGAGTACGAAGGACTCTAGCGATATCCACATATGAGGTGCATAATGTGCGGGTAAGGATGTAAAAATGGCCAGAGCACTCGCCAGGCGTCCTCGATGGCTGTCCTGTGATAAGAAGGCAGATCATATGTCAAACAGTAAACTTACATGTCCAGGGCGGCGAGGAAGCCATGCAGCTTTAGCGCAATCTTGCGACGGCCAGCCTTTACGTACATGTCGATGGCACGATTTGAAGTTGCGCAATACAAGTCATAAAAAGCCTCCTTGTCCCTAATAGCTAGTATGATCTCGTGATTGCTTATCCGCCGCGTCGATGAGCGTTTACTGATTTGTTCTGGATGCAAGGCAGCTTCTTCCATACATGTTGTTGCAAAAGGCAGCTTTTTGGGCAGATGACCTACTTTTACGCCAATGATGTCGAGCTGTAAAAAAAAATCAGGGCATGGCGAGAGTGTCAGCAATGATATCTGACCTGAGTCTTGGCTAATTCAAGAAGTTCACCTTTGCTCGCACTGAATCGCGCGAGCTGAATGCCATCCAGTTCTGTCGTAGTAGCCCACGTATCACATTGATCGACAACACTGAGAGCAGAAGAAAATATCCATGACTCGATAAAGTATTCCGATAACTTGGCCTATAGAGGACATGAGCTTCTACGATACAGAATAGTATGATGTGATCCCTGACCTCTACCTCCCGCAATCGTCTACCAAATGTGCCCAAAAAGGTGGTGACCTTCTGGCAAATCTCGGAGGGGCGACGCATCTTATTTAGCAGAGCACACTGACGAGAAAGCAAGTATATCCGGAAATCGAACACTGAGATGGAGTTGGCGAGGATAAGGTCGCGATAATGTTTCTTCGTGATTGAGAGTAGAGGCACCGAGTCGTCCTTATCCACGGGCTGAATCAGACTACCAAACCAGGACATGTTCTTCTCTCTCAGAACTTGGATGAAAGATACTTCCAGCTCGTTGTACTGGTGCAGGGCATCTTCGAAAAGTTTCACTCCTTCAAAGGAGCTTGCAAGACTTTCCTGACAGTCAAAAAATCTCAGTTAAAATACGTTCAAAAAAATGCCATGTATGAGACATGCCTTCAATATGAAAAACGTGCAGAAATTCCAACCAGGCATTTGCCTCTGACTCTCAGAGCGTCTGACCTCTTCTTCACGTTGAGAAACGGATGAATCTAGAGCAGACAGTAAACCGTCCTTGATCTTGTTCACAAGATCAGCCCATATGACAGGACTGTGATCTCCCGCTGTCCATGACAACTGTACACATCTGATAAATGTAAGTGTGAGGAGAGACGCGATAGGCGGGGTAGTCACACCGGTCTCGCTTGTCAATATTAAAATCTGCCTTTATCTTATCAAGGACGGAGCTCTTCATGTTGAAGAACTTGCGGTCTGTGGTCTTGACATCAGAACGAACAACGTGCACAATGATCCATTCTTGATTCTTCCGCTGAGATATGGAAGAATGCCAGTCTTTGATCTGTTTCTTCACAGTCGTCTTGTACAAGTCGTTATCCTGAATACCTCGTCAGGTTACCGCTACCGATTGTTCACCACGTTTACCTCGCACGTTACAACGTAAAGGTTGAGTAAAGGCTTTTCTAACAGAGTGACTGGTACTTGTGACGTGTGTTCATCGCGGAGAGAATCCAAAGGAACAAGAGTAAGTTCAAGTTCCTGGATGGTTTTGAGATTCGGTCGGGAGGCTGACTTCCAGTGAATGCTCCGAAGCGGTAGCTGAGATTGCAAGGCAGCTAGCACTTGCTTCCAATTCTCTGAGGCCAGAAACGACACTGGTGCAGAGTATGTCACTAGGACATTCTGATTAGACATTGGAAGATGCTAGATGGGTGGTATACTGTTGGACGCAGCGAAGAAAGTAGTACTACAGTTGGTAATACCTTCTGACTATTACTCGGTCAACGTGAGAAAAAGATTTTAGAATCTTTGCTCTGGATCATCACTTCACTGTCGACGATTACGGATGGACAGTATGCCTTCGCCAGAAGAAGCAAGCACGTCGACCACACCACCAGAAACCTTCAAAGAACTGGGACTCATAGATCCTTTACTGGAAGCCCTAGATAAGATCAACTTCACAAAACCTACTGAGATTCAGCAACAAGCACTTCCTCATGCATTAGAAGGTCGAGATATCATTGGCGTGGCGGAAACTGGATCAGGAAAAACTGCAGCGTTCGCACTTCCCATCTTACAAAAACTTTGGGACGAGCCAAAAGGATTGTTTGCGTGCATTCTTGCACCGACCCGCGAACTTGCATATCAGATAGCGCAGCAGTTTGAGAGTCTGGGTTCCGCCATGGGGGTACGGTCCTTGGTTCTTGTCGGGGGAATGGATAGGATGCAACAGGCTGTTGGCCTTGCTAAGCGGCCCCATATCATAGTGGCCACCCCCGGTCGTTTGAACGATCATCTCCAGAACACGAAGGGGTTCAGCCTAAGAAGCTTGAAATTCTTGGTGCGTTTTCCCTGGCCCTTGCACCCCAAGTCCTTACAGTCGCACAGGTTATGGATGAAGCAGACCGTCTTCTCGACATGGATTTCGGTCCTGAAATAGACCAGATTCTCAAAGTCATACCCAAGGAGCGCACAACGTATCTGTTCTCCGCTACCATGACCACCAAAGTTGCGAAGCTACAGCGAGCCAGTCTAGTAAACCCTATCCGGGTTGAAGTTTCTTCAAAGTATGGGCAAATTATCGGCATCCTGAGCTGTACTGAGATAATCAATGTAGATACCAGACCGTGTCCACCTTGCTGCAATATTATCTACTCGTCCCCTTGGTTCATAAAGATGTGCATCTCATATATCTCGCCAACCATCTTGCATCGAACTCCATCATGATATTCACCCGGACAGTGCATGATGCCCAACGGTAGGTGGTGAATTGCAATCATTTTATCATTCTCGGCTTATTTTTCCCATTTCTCTATTCCAGACTGTCAATCATGTTACGATCGCTTGGCTTTCCTGCAGTTCCATTGCACGGTCAGCTGAGCCAAAGCCAACGTTTAGGCGCTCTGGGCAAGTTCAAGAGCGGAGACCGCAAGTTGCTCGTGGCAACTGACGTGGCAAGCCGGTTTGTTCCTTATTTCTGTTTCTGTCCCTGTGTATTGATTCAAGTCGCTCTGCTTACAGTGGTCTTGATCTGCCTTCTGTTGACATTGTCATCAACTTCGATATTCCAACCCATTCCAAGGACTATATTCACCGCGTTGGACGTACTGCGCGAGCAGGTCGATCTGGAAAATCGATTACAATGGTGACGCAATACGACGTGGAACTCGTCCAACGAATAGAAAAGGTCATAGACAAAAAAATGGAACTTTGGCCAACCGACAAGGAAGAAGTAATGTTGCTGAAAGAACGTGTGGATGAGGCTGCCCGCTTGGCCATCAATGAGCTCAAGGAAGAAGCTAAAGCAGGTGGAAAGAAACGCAAACGTGAGGATGGCGTTGGAAGGGATGAGAGAGATCGTGACGATGATGTCGTGGAGGCAGGTGTCCCGAAAAAGAGACATTCAAAAAGAGGGCGATAGGTTTTCCCGTATTTGATACTTGCGGGAAACCATCTCGTTAAAACAACTCGATTAGTGAGGATTACACTGAACTTTGGCCTTTGTCTATTGGCACAGCAATTTCCTGGGACAAGTTTTGAGTACAAGCATCAAGATACATTCGAGAATAAGTATAGAGACATCGTCCGACTACCAAGGCGGTGACAAGGTCGATGGTATGCATGATTTAAAGCTTGATCGACAGTTGACAATTGACCTAGAAGTCCAACCAAGCCCTAGGCCTGATTACCAGAGATCGCGAGTACAAAAGAGTGAAGGATATGGCGATCGTACTTAATTGTCGTCACATGAACATGAGGTCTGAGCGGAGGATATACTTAGTTCCATTGCGAACCAGCGAACCCTCGTGAAGTAGGCATTCATTTCCGTGGCTAATCGGTCAGTGTTAATCTGCGGTCAAGAACAAGGCTCTGGATCACTAACCGATGGAGAAGAACAGTTCCACGCGTTAGAGGTGCTACAATGGTTTCGCGTGCTTTCCCCCGCTCATCCTTGTAAAACAGTGTCTAGTACACGTTAATCAGTCTTGAAATTTACAATCATAGTCACGGATTAGTACCTCACCACCTTCGACTCCATCCTCGATTCCAGTTAGGTAAACAAGTACTGTCCATTCAGATTTTGCTTCCGTCTCTGGGTCACGGACAGAATCATCATAGTGAGGTCCAAAGTACTGCGACGGCGTGTATTTGTACATGCGAATATTTGAGTTGCATGAGTGAGGCGAGCGCTTTTCGCCATGCGGAGGACGCCGCCTGACTGAAGCCGGAGGAGGGAAAGATGGGAGATATGGTAACAGAAGGGAATGTAACTTCTGAGCAAATGAAGTAGAGGTCACAGAAAAACGAACTAGAATTAGGACTACGGGTGAGCACCGACTCCTTACTGATCAAAATGCTTACAATTGACCCTCTCAGCTTCCCCTTTCTTCTTGGGAGGTGTTAACTCCAACGGAGTGTTGTCGATGAACTTCACAAAACGTTTACACTCTTCAACAGAGAGAAACTCCTGTCTGTCATTTAGAATGCGCAATGATTGCGATACATAAACGAAACGAACATCTATAAGGATAATCTGGTCTTCCAGCAGCACGCGACATTCGAGAGTTTCTTTCTGCAGGATCTCTGGAAACGTAAGAGCTGGCGACACTGCAGACTTGCGTGGTGTTTGCTTTGATGCTTTCGATTGCTTCGGCATGTCAGGCGCCCAGAACCCTGAACATTAAATCGCAGGAAGGGAGACATGGTAACGGCACTGGCCTAATTGGTCGAGGTGGCGTCAACAGCACATGCCCCATGGCTGAGCTGGTTACAGCGTCCGACTGTTATTTACCGGCATCGGAAGGTCGTGAGTTCGATCCTCACTGGGGCAGGACTTTTGCCTATCTTCTAAGTTTTTATTTGTTCGAATTTGTCACATGCACTTCATATATTTTGAATCTTCTTACGCTCTTCAACGAACTCGATGAATGCAACGGACTAGACCTTTACCCGACTGTCATCCTGAGTTATCTGTCATAGAATGGCCTAATTTTCGGGAGTATCGTGTCGAGAACTGGCGACTTGCTCGGGATGGAAGCGGGAATGTTGTTCGCGGTGCGACATCATGGGGATGGATTGACCTTTGTCTACCTTTGGTCATCTCGTTCATATGGCCAAGAGTCAGTATCCTGCTCGAAGTCTTTCAGCTTAAAAGCCCACAGCTAACAGTCTCTAAACTTTGTAGTTTCGTGACAGCACTGTGTCATGTGCATTCGCAGTCCTGGTAGTTGGGTTTTCCATCTACTGCCGTTGTACGCAAGTTCTTCATGGTATATTCAAAAACAGTGGTGTCTGTGCATTCCTCATTTTTGAAACAGAATCTGTGCTAGTGTTTCCAGCCTACGGTATACAGCTCGAAACGCATCGGGGATATCCTCTGCTAAAGCCGCTCTTCGTGTCTAGGCGATTTATTCACGCATCACTTTTAGAAGACTTCGTCATAAATGAAGGTTTAAGAAGATGGAACGTTCGCTATTATCTGGCTGCTGTGCATGGATCCAGCACGGACAAGATTGCTCTAGATGTCGCATTCGAGGTCAGCGATGTGCTATACTATCGTTTCCTTCTCTAGTCTAATTTTACCTTGATTCAGAATATTTTGCCATACTTTCCTGTACTCCTTGAAGTATACCAAGGAGTGCAAGAGTTCATGTTCTACAACCATATGGACAATAGGCATACCTGCATATAATATACCATCTATTTTTCGAGTAAAACCAACATTTTCACTCACGCAGCGTTCTGGGTCTGTTTTTCATAGTTTATTGCATTAGCTGGTGCCACCAGCAGGAACAGTCATGACAACATCTACTCCCTACTCCCTTCCTCACTCTCATATGCGCTCAGAATGTCATCGTAGCCTTCGTCGTCCCCTTCTTCTGCAGCGCTATCTCTAGTTTCCCGCGTCTCATAGAAGGAAGATCTACTAAGCCGAACAACCGATTCTCCCGAAATTTTCCGTGAACGCCCCACCGTATCCCCGGATGTCTTCCGCCTAGGACGTGGAGAATGCGACGGAAAATTTGGGGATGTTGATGTGGGCTCCTTGGAACCAAATTCAGGAGCACGAGGTGTCATGGCTATCTCTTGCTCCTCGGGCCACTCTGGAGGGGCGAGCGAGTTTGGGCTCACGTTCTTGTGCTCAGCCACAGAAGTACTAGGCCGAAGGTTGGTGTCCCGAGTTCGCAGGCTGGGTAGTTTTGGAAGGTGACGCTTCGAGCGCATATGGGGATTCCTAGAGGGTGTCCAGTCCTGCGAATCAGAATTGTCCATATCTTGTCGTAGAGGTGGTGGTGTCTTTTTTCGTAGTAAAATCTTGCTTGGTGTAGGTGGCCTCAGAGATACACTATCTTCGCTAAAGGAGCTCTCCCGACTTTCACCATTCACCCGTACCTTCCCTGCTTCGACATGAACTGCGGTGATAGGGGTCGGAGGAATGGGCGGAGATGACACCGTTGTGGGTGAATCGGCAGCAGCATATGCACACCAGCCCCTGTCAGACGAACTGTCTTCAGCGGCGGACCTAGTATAGGTTCTAGTGGATGGATCGCACGTCATTGCATCAGACGTGCTTAAAGGAGAAGTTGTCCAAGGAGCTCGTAGCGCACGGGACGCGGGTGCCATTGGTGATATTGACTTGCGGTTTAGTGCCACCCTCCGACTTCTGCCCTCGGATTCGATGTCAGATCTGGAGCCGACGCTTGGTTTCGAGTGCAGTCCGTTGAGAGCATCAGAAGGCGACTGCGATGACATCGAAGACACCGAGTCAGTGCGCAGTCCGTGCCCTTTATTGCGCGCTACATCCATCCACTCGCCACGCCGTGTGACTGGCATCCCGCCATCCGAGTGCGCGGCCAACGGAGGTTTCGCGGTAATCAAAGAGCTTGAATTGAGAAGAAGTGGACGTGGCGGACCCCTGGGAGGTTGTTGTGGGGCTGTTGTACGTGAGGTTGCGGTGCGGGAGTTCAAAGCAGCCAAGGATGCCAGAGAGGCCTGTGCCTTGTGCATGAAGTTATCTTCCTGCTGAGGCTGGACTTCCGGGCTCGGAGGGGCGGTGTAAGTTCCTCCTCTGCGCGGCAGTGGCAAAAAACTGTCTCGTGGCGATCGAAAGAATGTTGGGCGAGGGGGTTCCTCAAAAGTAGCCCCTCGACTGCTACCAGGAAGCAAGCCCCCTCTACTCCTATCTCCAGAATGGCTAGCACCATCTCTCAGTGGTGACCACTTGTCCGGAACTGAGGGTGGTAACTCAGATTTCGCGAACACCGGTGACGATGCATCTCCATTCGATGTCACGCTATTGCGTCGACTGCTCCATGCATCCATCGCTCGGGCACGCCAATTTGTGCTTACTTTCGCAAAAGCCGCAACGGTGTCAGAGTCTTTGAGTTTTCCAGCATAACCCCAGATACTTGCAGGCGGTGGGCTTAGAGATGGGTTTGAGGTAATTTGCTTTGGGGGACTCTGAGGGGAATGAAGGAGCGGTGGTGACTGTGGTTGTAGCGGGGAAGTTGGAGATGGTGGAGATGGCGGATCTTCCATAGAGCTTTGATTGGTGATTCCTCTCCAAACCGTATTGGCGAGACGCGAAGTCAGGGTTGGAGCAGCCGGAGTTTCTGTCTCATTGCCGTCTTCGTGGGAGCTCTCTTCATCCGAACTCGAGTCTTCTTCCTCCTCCTCTTCCTCCTCTCCCTCCCCATCAGCATCAGTAACTTGGTTTGTAAACCCCTTCCACATGGTGGCTTTGATCCGAGCACCGAGGGTGACATTATCTGACTTCGAAAGTTTATTTTCTTCGATGCGCCTTTGGGCCAAATCGTGTGCGGTTTGCAAGACTCGGTCGATACCACCAGCTGCATCAATTGGATAGGATTGCAAAAGAGCAATGCCCTCGAGGAAAGCGTCGCTGAGCTCCCATGGTCGAAGCGGAGAAGAAGGACGAATAGTAGCATGCTCTTCAGCCCACAGTCCCGGAGACTTACCTCCAGGCTTTGCAAGTCTAGAAAAATTCAATATAATCATCAATTTGTATGGATGATTGACTGACCTAAAAAGCGGCGCGCGCGCACGGATCAGAAGACTTGTGCAGATATCAACGAGGGCATCGAGTTTATGGTTCTCATCTCGAGTTCTCATTGGGTAGGAGAAAAGCACATCCCATACGGGCAGGAGGGAGGTAAGAGGAAGTGTTTGCGACAAGAGAGGTGCAAGCCAACGACTGCGAGCTTGTGTAAGCCATGAAATATCAGATAAGAGAGCGCATCATACTAGGAGTAATGTGGAAGTAAAGGATCCAAGCCTTTGGTGTGCTGTTACATCTAGAGTTGAGGGGAGTCCATAATTCGCCAAGAGGAACACATACCAGGCTCGCAGCAAGTTCTCCGTCAGCTTGTGCTAATCGATCGCTGAATTTCTTCATCCAGACTTTACCACCTTCCTGATCTGCCAGTTCAGAAAACTCCCCAACGAGAGCTTCAAATAACCAGAATGTATCTGCTTCAGCGTGGGCTAAATCTTCCGGTTCCACCTCCTTGATAAGAACAGCGTACAATGGTACAAGTAAGGAAGGAATGTCTGGAGATTGGTTTGCTGGATTTATACATGAATGCAGATACAGCAGACGGAGAAGGGCTGAGATGTGCTGTGGATGTGCGCTGGAACCACCGAACGGTCCGGCATGTAATAGTGTGGTGGATGCCCCTGGTCCACAGGAATCCATGCTCGGCAATTGTGACAGTTCTAGTGTGCCAATGTCAGGCTCAAGGCGAATTTCGGGAATACCTGCGGGGTTCGATGCGGAAATTTGTCCGTGGAGGACCTGCAGTCGCGCGTCAAGAAGATGAGCACACCCAATCCTTTCTGTCTCATCACCATTTTCATCTAACGGAGACAGAGTTGGGCAGTTTGTGCCTGTATCAAGCGTGTCGAAGAGTTCAGGGGGAAGACGAAATAGAGATTCAGATATTTTCATTAGCATCGTATCCGTGTTGCTCAGCGGCTCCGTGGGTGCTGGCATGTCATAAAATGGTGATAACAAACGGCGAACGAGATCCTAGTCAATGTATCAGCTTGCGTTTCGAGACATGAGTAACACATACATAGTAGCTGTCTCGTTGTTTCCGGTTTTCTTTTTGCCATGTCGACTTCAAGACCGGAACAGTGCCCAGTAGAAGCCTACATTGCAAGTTAGGTCAGTCAGAGGTCAGACACGCTGGCTGTCACGTACTTCCATATCCTAGGCCTAAGCCATGGAGGTTCGTCGGGTAACCCTGGCAATTCGCATTAGATATTACTCCATGACGATTTGTAGTTACTTACCTTGCGAACACAGCCTCCGTAGACGAGGTAGGTCAACAATGGGTGAACCTTGCGGATCCAAAATTTCAGAGATCAAATTCAAGCTAACTCGGACGTTCAGCTCGTCTCACAAAGAACTAGAAAACACGCACATATCCTGCCGGGGAGGGTCTGCAGCCCAGTTTACATGATACACCTTTGATATATTTGTCAGACAGTTATTTATCTGGGATGCAGAAGGGGTTGATGGGTGTAGTAATTGCATGACCTAATAAGATGTTAATAAACGAGTACAGAAACTAAAGAAATACTTGCACGCAAAGGGACGTGGTTTTCAAGGCTATTAGGTGAACTAGAAAAATGATGGTACATGCGTTGAATTAACATATCCCTAACAACACTGAGTTCTGTTTGATCCCGTGAGCACAATCGATCACTGAGACAATTTTTGTATACTCTCACCTTTAATATTAACATTGGGAGCTGCAGCTATGATAGAGGCTGCAGCCTCTGTAAGAATGGGGCTCGGCGAACGCCT